CAGGAGTTGGAGGTTGCTGTGAGCTGTAATGCCACAGCACTCTACCCAGGGGGACAGCTTGAGGCTCTGTCTCAAAAAAAAAAAAAAAAGTTCTGAAGTAAGCAACATTGTTTTGGAGGAATAGTGGTCTGGGATTCAGGTCTGGGATCTATTCCTCCTGGGCCCTGACCAAGTAACTTTAGAGTTTCTGGATCTCCTATATAAATATAAAGAGTAGAATTTAAATTTTGATCTACTTTTCATTTTGTATATTATAGTGGATAGTTTCTGTTATGCAAAAAGAAGTTAAGAGGAAATCAGGCATGATGGCTCATGCCTGTAATCTAGCACTCTTGGGAGGCCAAGGCAGGAGGATCTCTTAAGTTCAGGAGTTTGAGACCAGACTGAGCAAGAGAGATCCTGTCCCTACTGAAAATAGAAAAATTAGCCAGGCATTGTGGTGCATACTTGTAGTCCCAGTTACTTAGGAAGCTGAGGCAAGAGGATCACTTGAGCCCAGAAGTTTAAGGTTGCTATGAGCTAGGCTGATACCATGGCATTCTGTCTAGCCTGGGGCAACAAATGAGACTCTGTCTACCCCACTCCCCCCCCCCCAAAAAATGTAAGAGGAAAACACATTAAGTAGATTTTTTAAAATCTATGATACATAATCTAACTATATATTAAAAATAACTATACATATCTCTAGGCATGTAGAAATTTATCCTTATGGCAAGCTTAAAATAGCTAGTGAATTGGGTACTATGTGTATATTTTTATTCTTTGCTTTTAAAAGAATCTTCTCTAATCTTCTCCCCATCCCCTCATAGGGAAGATGAATGGCTCTCTGCAGCAATTGACTGCTTGGAATACCTTCCAGACCAGATGGTGGTAGACATAAGCAGAAACTTCCCTGAGCAACCAGACAGAACAGACTTAGTGAAAGAACTTCTGTTTGATGCCATTGGCAGATACTACAGTAGTAGGGAACCTCTGTTAAATCACTTATCTGATGTTCATAATGGAATTGCAGAACTCTTAGGTAAGTAAGATCTTAGTGGATATTGGAATTTATTTTTGGAGAAGCAGAAAAAAGCTAATTGTCCTCAAAAAAGATTTATTTTTGAGACTGAATCTCACTCTGTCACTCCTGGGTCCTATGGCATCATAGCTCACAGCAACCTCAAACTCTTGGGCTCAAGTGATTCTCTTGTCTCAGCCTCCTGATAGCTGGGACTACAGGCACCCACCACAATGATCAGCTTTTTTTTTTTTTCTTAGAGACAGGGTCTCATTCTTGCTCAGGCTGGTCTTGAACTCCTGAGCTTAAGCAGTCCCCCTGCCTCAGTTTTCCAGAGTGCTAGGATTATAGGCATGAGCCATCATGCCCAACCCATCATCCTCAAAATTAACCAAAATAGGGTGGCACCTGTGGCTCAAAGGAGTAGGGTGCTGGCTCCATATACCAAAGGTAACAAGTTCAAACCCAGCCCCAGCCAAAAACTGCAAAAAAAAAAAAAATTAACCAAAATAGTACAACAATGTAGTAGTAGATCTGGATAACCTATGCCTATGGAAAGTATGTTTATTCTAAAACTTCTAGTGCTCATTTGGAAAGAGGCTTTAAGAAGTACTAAAGTTATGCGGAAACATGTGGAAACTTCTAGTTGCCCCAAAACATAATGCTGCTCTCATTCACTGGAAGCCTAATAATAAAGCAGCAGTTCTCTTCTATAGAACAATTATCACCGCCACTATGCCCCCCCTTCAGTCTACAAAATGGCAGACACTCTGCTTTGTTCTACCAATGAGCCAGAATGTTCCACATACTTTGAAAATAAATGGAGAGATGGGTGGTGCCCATGGCTCAAAGGCAGGATACCAGCCCCATATGCTGGAGGTGGTGGGTTCAAACCCAGCCCTGGCCAAAAAAAAAAAAAACCTGCAAAAAAGAAAATAAGGAGATTCAGAGAATCCCTTTATTTTTCTCAGGTAGAGTTGGATACATGAGTATTGTACACATAGCATACCCCAAAATATGTTGAATTATGAAAACATAGGCTTAGAATTTAGCTATAAAGCTAAGAGTTAGATTTAATACCCTAAGATATATGACTAAGATCTAGGGTATCAGTTGCCAATTTGAGAACAAGCTGCCTTTATGGTATTGGTCATTCATTGTAATTCCCAGTCTTTCTTTGCTTCTTGAAATAATTTTGAATAAGTGTACTTTTTAGCTTAAACTGTAACTTGTGTTTTATTCCCTTTAATATAGTCAAATTTGTCAATTAAAAAGCAGTTTTTTTTTCTTTTGGCTAAAGTGAATGGAAAGACTGAAATAGCATTAGAAGCTACTCAGCTGGTTCTAAAGCTTTTGGATTCCCAAAATAGAGAAGAATTTAGAAGACTGTTACATTTCATGGCTGTTGCAGCCCATCCTTCCGAATTTAAATTACAGAAAGAAGTAAGTGGTTTGTTTAAATGTTAATTGTATTCATTATCCTTAATACTTACAGGACCTATATGTCAGATTATTCCATTTTCGGCATCAAATTATGCTGAAATGGATAATATTTAATATTCCCTTTCATTTTAAAGTTAGTCTTATAAGTACATACCATGGGATGTGTTTTGTCTTATTTTTATAGAGTGACAACCGAATGGTTGTGAAAAGGATATTCTCAAAAGCTATTGTTGACAATAAAAATTTATCCAAAGGCAAAACCGATCTTCTGGTACTCTTCTTAATGGATCATCAAAAAGATGTTTTTAAGGTAAAACTCTGAAAGTAATTAAAGCGAGCTTATGTAATGGATCACTAGATTAAAATGCGTTTGAATAATGTCCCATGTCCCTTTTTTTTTTTTTTTTTTTTGTCCTTTCTTTTTCTTAAGATTCCTGGAACTCTTCATAAAATTGTCAGTATTAAGCTTATGGCCATACAGAAGGGAAGAGATCCAAATAGAGATGCAGGTAACCTGAGAAACATTATTTTCATCATCTTCCAAAGAGATTTCTAGTGTATGTTTGAAAGTGTTTTAGGACTTTATTTCAGCTAAATTTAAAACATTTCTCTGTTATCCAGACTTTGCAGAGAGCCTCCTATGTCAAAAAGCAACTTGACCAGGGTTAGAAAGTTAGCAGTGCTTATCATTTGAGTGCATGTTATGTAACAGGGAAACAAAGCATAAATATAAAAATATTGCTCAATTTTTTTTCTAATTAGATCTGAGGAGGCATTAATTGAACTTTTTACTTTTAAACTTCAAGGATATATTTATTGCAAGAGAATTGATGAAAGCGACTATTCCAGCAGTACACAGAAGAAAACCAAAGATGAGCTGTTGAATTTACTAAAAACTATTAATGAAGATTCAAAACTGTCTGCGAAAGAGAAGAAAAAACTGCTAGATCACTTCTATAAGTCTCACCCGAACATCTTTATTGAATATTTTGAAGGCTGAGTTTTCTTTTTTTTTTTTTTTTCCGTCCTTCGCAAACAGCTTTATTTACAAAACAGGTCTCAAATAACATGAAATAACAAGATTCTTTTGAAGAAGATGAAGTTGGGCTCATAGATTTCAGGTTCTTCAGTCACATACTTGATCTGAACATCAGTAGCTGGGGAGTCAGAGCCCCGAGACCGAGCTGAGTCTTTCTCTAGGTCCCCAGAGCTCTCAGATGACACCCCCGCAGCCCCTGGGGCCTCTTCTTCTTTCGGTTCCAACGCTTCCGGTTTTTCTCTTTTTTGGATATAGATGCTGTGTCCTCCTCAGTCTGACGCTGACTGGCCTAGGGCTGAACGAGTGTCTGTTTTCATGTCCTCTTCCTCCTGTTGTGAGTTCATCTCCTCCTGGCGGCTCTCCTTCAGCTGTAGGATCTTCCCCAAAGCTTGGGGGATCTTCAGCCCCACAGAGGGGTCACCCATCTCTCTGTTCTCATCTGGGGGGGGGGACCAGGAGGCAGAGGAACAGGTGCTCCCATGGGCAAAACAGTGGGAGTGGGGCCCGTGGACCCACTGGAGCAGCTACTCGAGGACCCAGAGGAGTACGCACACCAATTTGGCACATGTATTGTGAGGGACAGGGATGCCCATCTTGGCTATTTCCTGCTGCCGTAACACAGCTGCCCACTTTCTGCTGCTCCAAAAGTTCATGTTCCTTCAGCGAATGATCTCCCTGCTGCTTGGCATGCTCCTCTTGCTGCGCCAGCAATGCCACCTGTTGCTGTGCCAGCGTCAGCCACTCTTCCTCTGACAGTGCCAGGAGCTCACCCACTCGGAGAGGAGGTGGAGGCCCCATATTTGGTGGGTGGGCCATAGGAAAGCCAAGGCCAAGGACTGCTGGAGGTGGTGGGGGTGGTGGAGGAGGTTGCAGAATGGGGAGTCCCATGGGTGGCGGTAGCATGGGAATCCCAGAGAACTGTGCTGATATGGGGGTGGGGGGAGCTTTGTCCCCATCTTCCCCTCTCAAAACCAGCCGATTCAGCGGGATACCAGTCTGGCGGGTGTAGGTCTGCAGCCGCTCCACCAGCTCCTCCAGACTCCCCTGTATTGGAGCTCCGATCTCTACCAACTTGGCCTGAAGCTCCTGGGTAGCCCAGGCGCCATAATGCCCAGGAGGTGGAGGCGGAGGCAGCTGCAACTCGGTTTTCAGAGGCTCAGGAAGCTCGGTCGCCATCTTAGCCGTAGGAAGGCACGCGCCCAACCCGGAAGCTCGGCTGACCTCCGGCCGCTGGCCGGAACTTCCGGCAGCGCTGCGCGCCCTGTGGTCTGCATGGTGGGAAGGCGCCCACCTAGGTCCAACCCTTGCTGTCGGCGGGGAAACGGGATTAGCCCCGAAGCGCTGTTTCTCCAAAGGCTCCTTGGCGTCCTGGTCACCAAGCTGTGCGGGAGTCAGAGTTTTTATTTTTAATGTCTGTACATGAGTTGTGTATTTTAGGAATAAATTATGTATCCTAAAAATCCAATCACATTTGTAAGCTTGGAAGTTCTGAATATGAAGTACTTAATAAAATTTTTCTAGTATAACCTTATGTGTCAAAACCTGAGCATATGTCAGGTGGTATATTTCTGTTAAGGATGGACCTTAGGTGAGCTGACTTAGAATTACAGGCAGATTTATAATTATATATAACTCACATTGACAAATGGAGGCTATTGCAGATAATAAATAAATGTACCTGTTCCAATTTAAGGAAAAAGTCAACTCGAGGGCAAACCTATAGAGCCTGTCTCGTTCGTGAGCTGGGGACTGCTTTGTATGCTCAGTGCATTACAGAATATCACAGAAATTTAGATAATACGTTGTAGTGTTTACATAAGAAAGCATTAAATAGTAAGGCAGTTTATAATATACTAAGAGGAGTGTGCTTTGTATTTTGAAAGGTATGGTTATTGTAAAATGAATTTGCTAATTACCATAAGTTGTAGGCAAGTCAGAAAACAGACTTCTTGTATTTATTTATTTATTTTTGAGACAGTCTCAACTGTCGCCCTGGGTAGAGTTCCCTGGCGTCACAGTTCACAGCAACCTCCAACTCAGGCTCAGGCAATCCTCTTGCCTCAGTTTGTCTATTTTTAGTGGAGACGGGTCTCGCTTTTGCTCAGGCTGATCTTGAACCCATCAGCTCAAGCTCTCTACCAGCCTCAGTCTCCCAGAGTGCTAGGATTATAGGCGCCAGCCACTGTACCAGGCCAGAAATCAGACTCTTTTTTTTTTTTTTTGAGACAGAGCCTCAAGCTGTCCCCCTGGGTAGAGTGCCATGGCATTACAGCTCACAGCAACCTCCAACTCCTGGGCTCAAACGAGTCTCCTGCCTCCGCCTCCCAAGTAGCTGGGACCATAGGTGCCCGCCACAACGCCCGGCTATTTTTTGGTTGCAGCCATCATTGTTGTGTGGCGGGTCCGGGCTGGGGATTCGAACCCGCCACCTTAGGTGTACGTGGCTGGCGCCTTAGCCGGTTAAGCTATAGGCGCCGAGCCAGAAATCAGACTCTTAATGCTTCTGGAGACTTCTTTGTCTTTAAGCTGATGGGGAATTTCAAAGTGGGGAAGGTAGAATAATGAACTTTCACATATACCCATCAACAAATATCAAAAATTGTCAACAGAAATTCATTGTAGTGTTTGTTGAATGCCTTGTTTAATGTATACTCCCCACCAACCCCAGCACAATTCAGGCATCATATCACTTCTTTTATAAAATTATACTATGTATGGCCAGAAGATAAGGACCTTAAAAACATAACCGTAGGCTTGACACCCGTAGCACAGTGGTTATGGCACCAGCCACATACACTGACGTTGGCAGGTTCAGACCCATCCCAGGCCAGCTAAAACAATGACGACTGCAACAAAAAATAGCGGGGTCTTGTGGTGGGCACCTATAGTCCCAGCTATGTGGGAAGCTGAGGCAGGGGAATTGTTTAAGCCCAAGAGTTGGAGGTTGCTGTGAGCTGTGACACTATGGCATTCTACCAAAGGTGACATAGTGGGATTCTGTCTCAAAAAAATAACCATAGGACAGGTGTAGTGGCTCATTTCTGTAATTCTAGCACTGTGGGAGGCCCAGGTGGGAGGATCTCTTTAGTTCAGGAGTTTGAGACCAGACTGCTCAAGAGCCAGGCCCCATCTCTACGAAAAATTTAAAAAAAATTGCCAGGTATTGTGGAAGGCACCTGTAGTCCCAGCTACTTGGGAAGCTGAGGCAAGAGGATTGCTTGAACCCAGTTTTGAGGTTGCTGTGAGTTAGGCTCATGCCTTGATACTCTAACCTGGGTAATAGAGTGAGACTGTCTCAAAAACAACCGTAATCATTCACACAAACCCCAAATTTCCTTAATATCAGGTATGCAGTGTTCCAACTTTCTGATCTCAAATGATTTTGATGGATTCATTTGAATGATGCCAAATTCAAATAAGGGATCCAAATGTCCATAAGTTGCAATTGGTTAATGTGCTTCAGTTTCTTTTTAAAAATCCATGGGTGGGTGGTGCCTGTGGATCAAAGGACTAGGGTCCCAGCCTCATATGCTGGAGGTGGCAGATTCAAACTCAGCTCCGGCCAAAAACTACAAAAAGAAAAGATAACCCCAAAAAATCCATGGGTTCTTTTCTCCCTCAGCCCTTCTTAGTTTTTTTTTTTTTGTAGATACAGAGTCTCACTTTGTCACCCTTGGTAGCGTGCCTTGGCGTCACACAGCTCATAGCAACCTCCAACTCCTGGGCACAGGTGATTCTTCTGTCTCAGCCTCCCAAGTAACTGGGACTACAGGCGCCCTACACAACACCTGGCTATCCCTCAGCCCTTCTATCTCATCTCTGTCTGTCTCTTTTGTGGAATAAACCTGGTCAGTTGACCTCGAGTTTTCCATAGTCTGAATTTTGCTGATTATAAGTCTTGGGCTGTCCTTTATCATGTTCCTTTTTGTCCTATATTTCTTGTAAATTGGTCACTAGAGCTAAAGGTTTTTTTTGTTTTTTTTTTTT